GCATATCTTTGATACCATATTTGGAAGTTTTGGTAGCCAAGTGTTCAAGCACAAATAGCAGGAAATGGTAACTAATTAAATAGTTTTCTACAGTATTATGATAATTCCTCTTGTCTAATCATCACTATTTGACGCTACGATTTTTAAAGTTAAAAAAAGATGTAACACAAATCATTGACAGTTTTTCGATGGTCGTACGAATGTTGTACGTCGGCTTCCCGTTTCAATAACCTTTTGATTTTTGAAATATTGGATCTCTTATTTTGCCCTGGTATAGGAAGTCACACTAGAGCATCGCGTTATATTATCGCAAAGGGGACAGATTGACGACGCACACAACACAACACAAAACAAAACAGAAGCAACAACAACAACAACAACAACAAAAATGGAGAAGAGATCAAAAATTTGGACTGAAATTTTCCTTGTGTTTGTTATCTGTTTTCTTCGCAGGAAATGATGTATCTATTGCAAGAGCCTCAATATCAGAACGAGGTTACCCGGTCATAACACTGTCAAACCAGTCTTCATATTCCTTCGAGCCAGAGTTTGGTGCCTGGTAGGTACATGTACATATAATTACTTAAATGGCCACTTCTATCCGAGATCGTTCTTTTTGTTGATTCGTTGCTGAAAGTTTCTTTTTCGGATTTGTTCAAGATGGCGATTTTCGTATGCGAGGACGTCGCGCAAAGGAATTCGGACTCTCGTGGGTCTTTAATAGATATTATCGGGAAAATGATAGTGATGAGTACAAAAATGCAGCCGGATGATGCTGGAATTCAGTATAATGAATAGTGAAGATACTTGGTGTTACACCTTGTTAGGTCACAAATCAAACACCGTCTTCAGAAAACACTCAGAAATTGAAATAGAATTTACCTAAACTTGCTACCTTATAGCATTACTCGAAGAGAAGGTCATTTTATTCAGTGCAGGTAATCTTTTGACTCTGGAACACTGTTAAACTGGTTTTATGTTCGTTAACAGGATTCAGTTGGTACGAGCTGAAGATCCACTAGCGTTGAACGCAGATTACAAGTCTTCTACTCCTCGTCAAGACCCTTTTGAAGTGAGAGGACCACTGTCACAGCTACAAGGACAGAGTACGAGGTATGCGTTCAGTGTGAAATAACTATTGATTTTTTAAAAAACTTGATCCTTGATATTTTCGCATCCACAGAAGGAGATAAAACTAGTATAATTTTATTTTTGTAGRCTTGCACATCAAGGGGGTCGTTTGTTCCGTTCGAACCCAGGCCGCCAGCAAACGGCAACAGTGTCTCATTTAGAGGTAAGGTTTGCAGCAGCTGAGACAATAGTCAACTTTAGATATTTTGGTTCGATGACTATGTACAAAAGAACGCACACGAGGCTCCGGGAAAACAATGGATAATCTTGATTTCTTCTTTTATTTACCCGGAGCCTCGTCTGCAATTTTTTCATGCATGGTCACTGAACCAAATTATCAAAAGTCGGCTATTACAATGATAAATGCTTAACATTCACTGCCTGCTGGAGGATAYGAACCCACACACCGAAACACTGACAAACGCACAGGTCAAACTGGTACGCTGTGGGTAAGGCGTTGCTCAAAGTTATTTGTTAACAAGTGTTAATGCGAAGAGAAGGCACAATTGCAGCTTGATTATTGAACCCAAATTAAGTTATCAGAAATACGCAGAAAAGGATCGGAGCGAAATGAAGGGAGAAAATTGTTGTTCTCGTGATAACTGGGCGTTATTTCATTACTGATAACTGTTCAAAGTTAGTATTAAAAACAGGTGTAAATGATGCCATGACAGCAGTTTGATGGTYCTTGACTTGACCTGACTACTCATGATGACATGTGGACTGTAATAATGATTAGTCCTATGTTATGAAACTGTGTTTATTGTTAAYCACACTAGTGTCATGCAATCTTATCTCGATGGGATTCTCAACGATKATTTTGATTGGATGTAGTGAATCCTCATCCTTGATTCTGTCCTTATTTCATSGAGATTTCCCTAATCACACACGAAGGTCTATTCTTCACAACTATTTTAATGATAGTAATTTTATCCAATGAAATCTTACAATTAATCATTATCTTAGAAAGATCAGTTGTGATTGTTGACTTACATTTGCGCATGCACAAATATGGTTATTTATATCCCACATGGATAGTATGTCCTTGTGAGATCAATTCCTGTCACCTGTAAGGTTTTTTCATAGTTATAAATGTCTTCTCTGATTATATAGTACATGTTCGCATACTGCTATAATACTACCCAACGTGGTTCATCAATGTGGGTGTGTAAAAGGGTAGGTGGACTGGTATAGTACCGGAATCAATCAATAATTGCAAGAGCGAATAAAACAATARCGGGACTAGACAATCAATTTGAATCTGAATTGAATTAAGGAGATTATATTGCGGGTTCATTAAGGGGAGGAAAGACGAATGAAGAGTGTATAAAAAATGTATTTGAATTGAGTAACTTGATAAACTGACACTTTTCTAATGTTGTGCTTCATCATGTTGACAGCTGTTTTCGAACGCCGACGCTTTTAGTTTATTCTCTTGCTGGAGGGTTATCCGTTTTCATTCCTACGCATTTTGTGTAATTTTTAAAAGGCTTTTATCATATATGGTAGTACTAGAAGAAACAACAACAATCAGCGTTAAAACCGTTCCACATTAAAATTGAAAAGTTTCAAATKAATTTCTCTTAAAAACYGGAAAGTAAAATTGCGTTGGACGTTGTTTAGTTTTTTTTCTAATTGTATCTAAATAAACGTTTTTAATTTATTGGTTGATTCTGTATAATCGATTTGCACCTTGCATTGCTCTTTCCGGAGTTCACAAAACACATTCACTTGCCGTCAAATATGGAAGTCCAATAGAAAGAGTCTGATTRGAATGTGCTTATTTGGAAGATCAAATAGTATTTCAAATCGTCTTCTCTTCTCTTTCTTCACCCTTTTAACTCGGAAATAGCTCGATTTATTCTGAGCTGTGATTGGCTAATGATGGCTGTTCGTTTCGACAGTTTCAACAAGAACTCAACCCTGAGTCCTGCCCGCTCCGCAAAATCTCGCTGAAAACCGTTCTACTATGCAATATGTTCCAAAAACAATCAGGGGATAGGATCGAGGCACGGYTCTGCTGTTTCAAAAGTTAATAGCGCCTTGAGACAAGCCAGCCATTCCTACTGCATGCAATCAAAATAMTAGCAGTGATCATATAAATATAAAATTATATAAAATATTAAGTTTACCCGTCGCATAGTATATTTTGAAACAGTGACTTTTTAAAATTAAGCTGTCTCACTTTCTCAKATGTTTAAATAAAAAATCATGTTTTTAGAACCAACTTGCAGCTTGTCTAGCTCTGGGATCTGGGAACGAATACCATTTTTGGTTAATGACGTATGTTCGATACCTTGTCCAATCAGGTAAGATGAGTTACTTACAGCGACTTAAATATGTCTAGTAGACATTCTTATGAAAGCTTTATATAAAACCCGTAAGCATCACATGAAACGACAAGCCGATCAGCCTTGAAAGCGTCATCCAAATGAAAATTAGATTATTTTCACCAAAAATGAAAGTCACAAAACCACTTCTAACATTCCATGCACTGATATTGTCCCKAATTCATTTCTTGTAAACTTGAGCTTTCCATAATTCAGAGCGACAGTGATCAACAATGATGACAATAATCAATGAATAATATTTACTAGTCATCTTGTCATCATAACTGTTTGTATTCCTTTCAGGTCTTGAATCGCGGATTCGTGACGTATGCGACGAGTTCCTTGGTCCACCCTACAGGTAATTATGACGTGAATGATTATTTTGTATCACATCAAGAGAGCGCATTTTTCAAATTTCCAATAAATAATTGTGTAATCGTTTAACTACCTTATAAACACTGGAAAAAATCGCGCCATAAAGGTTGTAAATTTGATGGAAATATGATGTAAGTGTCCAAAATGATGTAAATTTGATGGAAATGATTTACATCAAATTTACATCTTTTGGACACTTACATCATATATACATCAAATTTACAACCTTTAAAGCGCGCGATTTTTTCCAGTGAAATTCTATGAGTTATGTGTTAACGTGTAGATAATATGAAGATGTGGTTTMGGTCTTTTCGCCGTACCCAACATTTTGAGTGTGGATTTGAGGACCTGAGATGGYGTAGTTTGTTCAAATCAACACAAACAATACTTCAAGCGACAGTCATGTAATTTTTGATTTAATATACAAAGCTTGTCTCCTTTATGAAATACAAGTTTATTTTATCAATACTATGTATGAAGTTCCTTAGTGCTTTTGTATGCTTCTTGTTCTTGATTGTTTGCATGTTTATCGAAACTATTTGGCTATTCACATCTCAATTTTTCGTCTTTACTTCTGTACCTCCATGAAGTWCGTGTATCCATTTACACTGGATCCTATAAGTTGGTTTCAGCCAAGGTCACCTTTATGAGCTCTTTAACACCTACTTTTGGAAATATCGAGATTTGGCATTATATTTTTTTCGGAGTCTCTAGAGATCAAGACACATTATTCAATTATTACATTATTAATTCAAACTCAACAATTTTTTCGAAGTGCCAAGCCACACTTAACTAAGGGCAAAATATTGTCAGTAAATTGCATTCTTTATATGGTGAAACAATTTTACCTCGGTAGGTTTTAAACACTGCCACTTAACGACTCAAGGGGCGTTACCTTTCTCAAAAGTCGGCAATTCAAAGATACCTTAGCATTGGCAACATAGTCTTCGGAAAACCACATTTTCTTCCATAGGAGTGTCTTTGGTGCCTAGTCGAGCTTAATGATGCAGGCCTAGGGGCTGGCGTCGGAGCAAATGACTCGTAGAAACACTTACAAACGCGATTTTTTTTGCTGATTTGAGACCGACTGCTGGCTAGTCTAGTCAGTTATCTCACATTTGCCAGGCCTTGCTGAAGTAAACATTATTAAGGGAATACAATAGTTAAAAACTACGTCTATGAGGCAGATGTCATTCTTTGAAACCTAAGACATATTTTATCATGTTATGTTTTAGATCGACGTCACAAAGCAAGTCGTCTACCTGGACCCCACGAATTTTGGTATAACCGATTTTCAAGATCATGTCAATTTTTGAACTTCACAGATTTATCCGTAATTTGAATGACTTCATAATTATGCAATGTCCAACCTTATAAAGAACTGTCTAAGCGTTCACCATCCCCAGTATCCCCCGTCTCTCTACACTTCACTCACTAACCTGTATTAGAGGGACGTTAAAGAACCCACACCACTGTTCGCATAAGAGTAGGGAATGATTCCCGGTGTGTGTGGCTAGGCCTTACTACTAACCCATACTAATTACTAACCCCTCATGATTGTAAGCCGCGTGGCTGCCAATTGCGCCTTAAAAACAGCGGTCCGTGTGAAATGATCTATACATGTGAAGCGCCTTTGAACTCAGAGGATATTGGCGCTATATAAATACCACATATTATTATTATATTATTATTATTACTGAAACACTATTTCATGGAAAGTGATGTATGGTACTGATTCTTTCCATAGTTATGGGCTGTTTTTTTCTTGATGCAATTTGAAACGGGTCTGGTGAAGAACCTACGATAATGTTAAAATGTCGTTCCATAGTTAACTATGGTCGTTCTTACTGATGGTCCTTTTGYTTGCTAATGTTAGGGCTATCTCAAGAAAGAATTACTTCGAGAGATTCTTCATGTTATAGGTAAGTAACTAGAATTACAATGATGAATATAATGATTTCTCCTACGACACAACCATCATATCTAGTGTACATGCGTACATTTGTGTGTACCAAGCTACACAGAAACCAAACTAGGAGAATCCATTACGGTTATTACCTTATTAGGGTGTGACTATTTCGAATAAGACGAGGGCACGGAGCTCACAGTTATTTTGTAAAGGCTATCTTTATATTATTTGTACACACCTGTAAGGATGCCCTGCACGAATGGCAAAGTTTGTGTATAGATATATATCGTGTTAATGATGTCTCTATCAGCTATATACAATGAGTGGACCGATTGTGTTCTAACAATGCATTATTATCTATGGTTTTTGACCGATAATTATGAATTTCATTTATATTTTCAAGGTGGATTTCTCCTTTGTTAAGATTTCCAAATTTAGTCGCCATTATCCGTGCTAGTAGGATATGAGATGATGGAAGTACTAAGAATATTTTGAAATAATACCCATAGTTCATTTAGTTATCCATTTCCACGGATAAACCTTTTTAAACAGGTGTATGATAATAAAAAGGCAAACGTTGTACGTATGTAGCAAAGTATTAATGTTGTAAATGTGTTCAGTTTAATGGAGCTGTATGGATCTTTCCTGTGTTTTTTATTCTCATTTCCTACACTTAGTAGTATCAGTTAGAAATATTGCTCAGGATTATCTTTAACGCTGACCGGCAACTTTGTAATRACAAGACCCAGGGGTTTGTGATGGGCTAAAAGCTTTCAAGTCGAGATATATAATATAGTCAGCCTATCAGTACACTTAAAGTTATTCGTTTTCTTCAGGATGATCACGAAACTAGATCACTGGATTATTGTCCACATCAGCTGATCATTTTTTCTTTTCAATGCTTTACAATATACACCTGGATTCTTTTTGCTTGATGTTTTATTTGCTTTCGTGTTTTTTATGAAGTTTTTGTATTTGTGTATAGTCTTATATCACTAATTAGATTTTTGCTTCATTTTTTCATATTGTTTTTGCTGTCAGTGTGATCTATTGTAGATTCTATACTTAATTGTTTTTATGTCAGGTACAAATATTCGTCTTCAACGACTGTTCACTGAATATAAAGACCAGCTTGATGCTGCTGAATTACGGACATAACATTTCCCACATGGAGGACTTGAAGACTTCCAGACTTACGCCTTCACGCATGCGTAATGTATAATAAATAAATAATTTATTGGCTTTTACACTATATAAAACGAGATGTAGTTGAGAGATTCCGTGAATGTAACGATTTCTACKGTTTGCCCATCAGAATATGCCCTGTGGGGTGGGGGGTATTAAAAATACAAGTCAAAAATACCTTGAGTGCTAAGTTCTTTTGATGTTGCAAAGCSTCCGACCCCACGTCAAAATCATGGGTCATCCATTTTTATATGATGGTGGCAAATAATATGCTAAAGAGCATATTGTGTTTGTACGCTTCGATTATTACAGAGGGTTTCATTTGTTCTGAAATTAAGACCGTTTTCAGACATCGATTTTCGCATGAACTCAGCCAATGCATTAAGATAAAGAAAGCACARCAACAWTGGACTTAATGTATCGGCTTGACATCATATTGGCAGGCTGTACCGAACTGTTATTGCCTAACATTTTGACATCTCACTAAGTGTACTGCAATAGTGATGCATTGACTGAGTTGCACAGTAAAATCAAGGCGAAAGGAAGATTGAGCTAAAATTATAAAGTCTATCGCGTTATTATGAAGGAACTCTTAAAAGCAATTAAGTTACAAGGCTTTGAACTAGCTCAGGATGTGTCGGGTGTGTTTATAGGTACAGGCTTACAAGGTTTATTGACAAGAATTTATGTTCAATTTTGCTAAAAACACTTGATCCTGGGAGATTTTAGAGTTGCCAGATTATATAAGCAACCAATAAGCCTTGTAGTCCCATCACCTATAATTGTCTTAACTATTGAGAGCTGAAGAAAATACACAGATAAGGAGTGCCATGAAATTCAATGTCGAAAGTCGTTTTTGAACACTGAGAATTGTAAATTTTGTCRATTTCTGATTGGTCGATAGCCGTGATAAGCAAAAGTACATACCGCGGTCAAAAGATTGTTCTTTTTACTGGATTTTTTTCTAGTTGTATAATATTTTTTTGTGGTTAAAAASAAATCTATGATAGGTTCTCATGGTATGTCCTATTATTTACCACGGTTGGCGCCATCGAGTCATAAAAATTGTTCATAAATTTTCTGAATTTCAGCTGACAGCAGGTAGAAATCATTTAATAGCATCAGATAAACTTGTATTAAAGATAAATGATCACTTTGAAACAGATACATAATATTGTGTATCATGTGAAGGAATCGATATTTTGTTTTCGTAAAATATAGTGAGTTTCTTTACGTTAGTACATCTGTAAATCTTTGTGTATTAAGTGCAAACACTGAAACCACGAAAAGTTAAAAATACAATTAAGTATTATTAAATGGTACTAAATTGTATTGAATTATACGAATTCCTTTTTTTTCACGCTTTTGGTGTTTATACTGATTCACATTACAAGAAAGGTATCCGTGAAACATTAATTAACTGAATATCATATAAAGTTGCGTACTTAAAATTATGTGCATAAGAAAAATATTGAAACTTTTGTATAATAATTTCTTTCCCCTTAAAATAATGTTTTGACGTCGAATTTGCTTGTCTGACGCTGAAAAATGTTTTTGTACTTTTTCTTAATTTAAAGAAACATTTCTCTCAACTCAAGTCAGGCTCATAAATGGCTGTTTTTTTACGCCTTTTTCTCAACATCTCAGTCGTAATTTTTGTACGAAATAGTGCTCCATATGACGTTTTATTAGGAGAGCATGAAAATTGTCAAACTTTAATAAAACTGTGTAATTGACAATATTCAGTGTTATTGGTTGTGTTTTGTAAACTGTCTGTTGTTTGCGTCTGGAAGATATTGCTTCAAGCGCTGTTTGTCTAGGGAAGAGTAATTATCGAACACTAATGAAACCGTTTAATTGAGGCTTGAAATACTGTCTTTTACAAGAAGATATTATTCACCATGCAACTTCACRATTACAGCTGCTTATCCAAGAATAACGTACTCGCCGAGAAAAATAAATAGCGAACAATAGAAAGGAGAATGAACAAAAATACTTCCTAGATGTTACTGGGAAAAAGAGGTTCCTAACATTTTCTTTTCTATAATTCATGTTGTTTACTTCAAATAGTCTCGCAGAATGTGTTGATATTCAAAATATATATTTTTTTTAATGGCAAAGAGAAAAAACTAACTCCGTAGATTACAAAATTAAAACGAACTTCCTTAGAAATTTGAAGGTTTATTTAAATTGGGAGATTTTTTGTTTCAGTTATATACCTATAAATTTACAGTACAGAGTTCTTTGTAGAAGATAGAATTATGAAAGTATCCACGCTTATCTTGTGCAGAGACTGCCTGACTAAGSCCTGGTAAAGTTTTTTTGAACTAATTTCCATCCCTTTCTTGGTAATTTGTTATGTTCAATCATTTGGTCGCCAAGGTATTCTATGTAAGGATTGACAACCTTTAGATTATTGGTGACGGTACATGTAGACCAGTTCATTATTATCCCCCTCAGTTTCAGTGAAAACAGTGCATAAGTTTTACAAGGTCTTTAAGGATTATCCCTGAAGTCCTGAACGGTCGTGAAATAYGAATACTGTTCGTTTTCGCTAAAATGTTTTTCTTTCGTTGATAGCTCTTTTATTTTAGTAATTAAGGACGAGTATTGTATCGATCTGTTGACAATGATACTAATAATTTGTAGTTACTGTTTTGTATGATGTATTGCAGTCAGTGCGAATATTCCAGTCATATCCTCAATGAAAAATTGACCAAAAAACTGTTTTGACTCAGTAAGATACAAAACATTTGGAATAAGTGAATATATTATTATAGACGACATATTGTATTTTTGAGGTAACCTGATTATCAGGCCTGATACTCTGGTTATATTTGAGGGCGATGGCTAGCAATCGAAGCTGATTTAAGGCGCCCTTAGATCTAGTATCATTATATCGTCCCAAAACGCGTTCTTTTTCTCGAGGGAATAAAAAGGCGTTTTGTGGGATTAGGGTGATTATTAGGACATGAAGCATAAGATGCAATTAGGCCAGGTAAGGATCCAGTAGAGGTCAGAAGATAAAAGTTTCAAAGAATTAGAATGATAAATAGTTTTCTTTTAGTTTCTCCTTTTTCTTTTCTTTTGTTTATCTATTTAATTTTATAATTCACGTTTAAGTATGAAATATCGCAGTGACCCTGTATATCGATGTATTTGTATTTGTTATATAGCGGTGAGAATTTCTTCAAGTGACTGTTATTTTATATATAGTTAATCATTTGTTTTTTTTTATCTCGTTTAGTTGTTTGGTTTGTGTTAATGTATGGACAACTATTCGCATATATGATGTGAAATAAATAAAAAGAATCACAACTAAGAATAACAACTCTCAATTGTAAAGGGAATCTCTTTTTGTCTTTTAGTTCATTCCTGCTTTTATTTCATCATATCACCACAGACTTGATATTACGTGTATTCCATTTGTAGTTATTTATTTACCGTATTTATCGGTGCAGTCGATATATCTGCACATCATAATGTAATTTATCATATAATTATCTATAAAATACYTATATTTCTCTCTTTTGGAAAGTTGTCATTTTCACTAGTGAAAATAACACATTCGAGAATTCTCTATGTATATGAAGAAAAAAAGATATTACTTTTATATATAATTATATGATAAACAGAATATTACATAGTCGCCTGCGCTTACTCCTGAGAGATATTTTCAACACGTCGAAGATAAAATCCGTATCTCCGGGCGCCCATGTAATATCTTCTATAAAATATATCACGTTGGTCATTACAGTGGCCATCGATCATTTTAGTGTATGTATATGTTGGATGTGATGCCATATGTTCTATATATTTTGATCTAATCTGATATTCCAAGTAATTATACTGTATTGAGCCGTTAGAACGATAAACGAGGCGATAAGATTTGAATGTAGGCTTTGATTTCGAGGTTAGTTCGTCGGTGCGTTTTCTAACACTACTTGCTACCATGGTAACGTGAATAATGGATAATTTAAGTGTTTGCTTCATTTCACATCCTTCTTTTCACCACCTTCTAATTGCTTGTTTTGGTTTGAAAAGACGGTCTCCCTTCCTCCTGCGTTCTTTTTTGTTTTTTTTTCGCGCTGGGGAGTTGCCTTATTCATTCCACTCCTTGTTTAACAATTTTTGTTCAATTTCCATCAAGTTTATTCGTTCATTTCCTCATACATTATTGATTTGATCTTTAATTTTTCGTTCATTAAATCATTTATAAACGCAGTCCGAATCGTTCGTCTTTTAACGTATTTACTCATTTATAACGTGTAAAAACTAGACAGTCTTTTTCATGATGGAATAATACTAACATTTAATGACTGTATACAGAATTCTTTCATTTAAGTTTTTCATATTTTTGATTGTTCTTTTTTCCATCTATTAATCCGTCCAAAAACTCCTTCCTGTGTCGATGCGTTATATTCTTATATTCATTCATTTATCCATACTAAAACATCTTTTCTTTGTCTATATTGTAAACTAGTTCAATGATTGTTTCTATATTATCAACTCTACATTTCCTTGCCAATTTCCTAATCCTCTGTAATTTATCATCAATATTCCTCTGTTTATATTCTTTGTTAAGTTCGGCCGGCTCTTCAGGTAACCTCTTTAATATTGAGAAGAACCTTGATGTGAATGCAGAAGAGTTATACTGTACAGCAAAAAAACTCAAAATCGTTCATAAATAAACTAAAAAAACCTATAACACAAGAGTAACAATTGTAGACAAGACTGTAACGAAAAAAGAAAAAAAAKAGAATAATAACAAAATATCAATGTTGACAATATAGAACTGCATGATAGTTGTCGTGAAGCAATAATTTTCACCTCAAAAAAGACGCGGTTTAAAAATAATTTCAGTTATCATGCGTAGTTTTTTATTAATTTTATAMGATAATGTTCTTGCCACAAGCTGTGTATAAATGTCTATTATCTTAGTGGTGGAAATAATTCATTTTTTAGTGTTTTTCGAGTCAATGGACTACTCATTCGTACTTCCATTGTTTTCATATTTCATGTTTTTAGTTCTTTATGATCGCTTACGTAGATTTAGTCTGTAATTCAGTTTGTAAGGTGTATGTGCGTCATCCGTGGAATAATCATTACGTTATTCAAACATTTCTTTTAGCCCTATGATTACCGCTTTTTGAAATGCTTTTGCTAACTTCGCCCACTCCTTTATTGAAAATCTGTTTATTTAGTGAAATCGTTTGTTCTATTGTACATATTGCTTTCTCTGTGTTGCCTGTCTGTCTATCGTTTCAAATGTCCATCCAGACAATCATTTTACCATCTACATAACAAGATAAATGCGTGTATTCGTCGATATATTCATCTATCCCTCAATCTATCCGTGTAATYAAGCCACACGTCCTTCTCATTGATCTATTCGTGTAAATAACGAGCCATCCTTCTATCCGTCCATCCATCCATCTGTTATCCTTCTATTCAACCATCTATTGATATAAATAACAAGCAAGCCTTCCATGTTTCATTTATCTCTCCCATCATTAGTACATTACCATCTATCCAGCTAATCAACAAGTCATTGAACTACTCATCCATCTAATAGCTACCACATCTAGCCCCCTTTTTTTCTTTGGAATGAAAAGGCTGGTACGGAATGWWAGAAACGCATTCTTAAAAGTTTTCGCCTATTACTTATCATTTCACTCCGGAATTGGTGCAAATGATCAATTCGCGAACTTTTCATGCGTATTCTAATCAGGTTTATTCAAGATTTGAGTGTAAATATGCGTAATTTTATGCGCACATCAAACATAATGTTGATTCCATTACCACAGCACTTGTAGTCAAGTGTTGTTCCACTCACTGTTCAGCATGATATGTCGCGCTCTTTATTATACATCCCCGTAAAATAAATGTTATATCCCTTAAATTACATTTTGACGGGTTTACTACAGTTAGAATAGCCGATTTGTGAATTTCGCCTTAGTAGTCAAACACAAAAGAATCAAGACGAGGCGCCGTGCACAAAGCTCAGTCAATCGTGAAAAACGTTTGCCTTCTCACGAATAACTGAGCTCTATGCACTGTGGCTCGTTTTGACTCCTTTGTGTCCGACTACTGAGTCAAAATTCGCAAGTTGGCTATTCTTGCTTTATTTTTCTTTTGTTACGAGTGTGTATTTTGCTTGATTTAAAACTATCGATGCTGAAATAATTCGTGTTGTCATGATATGGTGGTAAAGTATGTTCTAGATAATAATCCTCACTATCATAATGATAATAGTTGTAATGGTAACATAAATATTGATGAAACCTCGAAGCACGTCCAACCCAAATGTGTTCCGTTCATAGAGCAAGACATTGTGAAGTTTATTGTAAGGTGTCGTTAAAAGTGATTGCTCTTCATTTGGACTTGAAATCTTTACTTTATATTTGGTATCCCTTATAAAATCTGAATGACACCCCCTCCCCCCTCGAGCCGCTTCGACATCACTGTGTGTGACTTGTTATTGTAGTTTCTCACCTGGCAATGATAATATTAACAAACAAAATAACAATGAGAATCTCTWATAGCACAAGCCATAAAGAACTTTGTAGAATAAAAATATAAACATGGAAAGTAGTGAAGGAAGGAATTAAATCTGATGAGTTTTTACCCTTTTTGTTAGTGAAATCTTACACGGATATTGAAATTATCAGAAAAATCGATTGTCAGACTGCAAAATATTGAGAGAATCAGTATACTTTTTATTATAATGTAGAATCTCTACATTTGTTTTTCATTTCTACTTATTGTGTAACTCTAGAAGCAATTCCCCATATTTATTACCAAGTATTTATATGGAATATGTTGAGTTTTTTATATTGTCGATCGAGCTTTCAGAATGTTATGTCTTTGATTTCTATGGCAATTCCTCAAGTCACTGCAAATCATGTTCTCTTAAGTGTCCGGCGATGATCCAACTTCTACTTTTTAATATCGCTTGTTACTGAGCCATCTATCACGATGCTGGAGTGCTGTCAAGATTTAAGGAGGTACATCAGCTCAACGATTTTTTATGACTCAAAGTTACAGTTCATATAAATCTAAAACTTACCTTGTAAAGACAGGAATGACTGTTATCCAGATATATGTGCTTTAATTACAATGATAAAGATCAGTACATTTTTTTTATCTAAGTACAAATAWTATTTTTTTAAATTAAAGTTAGATTTCATTGAATCTTCGTCTTGATGTGATGAAATACAGCAGCGCTTTCGAAATTATTATTATTATTTATTTTTATTTTTAATTTATTTCCTCWTCTTGATTGAGAGACGAATTTACACTACAAAACCTTTTTAACAACTTAAGCTGGTAAAAAATAACTTTCAGTAATTAAAAGCCTCAAAATAAAYAGATATATAGTTCAGATTCACTTTGTTTTATTAGTTTGCCAGCCAAGAAATTTCACTCTGCTATCAGTACTATCATATTATCATGGTAGTCATATCTTTGACAGTGTCGACAAATATTGATGCGCGATAAATCAGTTGATCTAAAGCCATTAAGTCAAGAGACTTCGTAACACTACAGCTTCGACTATCAAATAAACAACTTACTATAGCTTAAACAGGGTATTTTTCATATCTTGATATTTCCGCCACCTTTTTACCAGCAGGTTTTGCTGTTTTTTATTTTATTTTCGAGTGTTTGTTTTGCTAAGTCCTAATTACTGCAGTCCAACGAAGCCAATTGAAATCACCATGACAACCAATATTTCACCTGTCTTTGCGTACTCAAAACGAGGYTGCAGGGCGTCGGCRGATTTTTGATTCTTTATTAATAGTTCAGTTTTCTGCAATGATTTTCTAATAAGATTTTGATTTTGAGGGTTTCAAATTTACGCTAGCATTAGAGTGTCTGTTGTGGTATTTTAATCGTTGTAATTTTGATGAAGGAGTGGGTTTTTTAATGCAATGGCTTATCTCGAGTGAAGGATGTATAGATTCGTTGATAGTATCTTATCATTACTAGACACCATAATATTGTTGTATTTATTTGCATGGTGATAGGGTGGGTAATGTTCAAAAACTCTAAATTGAGCGGGTTTTTCAACTTTAAAAAGGTTTTGGTTCGGAGACAAATGGTTTTTGTTCACTAGTGTTACAGCTGTTTCCTTTAGTTTGGCTCGACTCGTTTCAGTTGGTGGCTGTCAACCACCGAGTCTTCGGCGATAGAAGTGTATCTTCCTACGCGTTTGACTCAGTTGACCTAATGATCGGCCTCTCCAAGACAAAATATTCGGGATTTTGGAATTACTGAGAGAGTGATTTCCCAGAGATAAGAATTAATACGTTAGAACATTGTTTTGAAGCTCTACTATTCCGCTAATGGCTTGCTACACAGTCTCACACTACACAAGAATCAATAATTGGTTGTGGGTGGCTTAAAGCGACTACGTCATACTGTCAATAGTCTTCTATCAATAAAGATCTACTGCATCAACCATATACTACACAGTCGCGACGCTCTCTCTCTCAACATCAAATTTAAGGTTATATTTTGATGCTTTCTGATAGAGTCCGCCTTGACCGCAACACCATGGATGCACTTGGCTTGTTAATTTTGGTCCTTTTAGTCGTAATTTAAGCTTGTCTTAATTAATTTGGTTTCTTGGATGGACTAAGGCTACTTTGTAAATAACAGCCACGGGAGACGGTTCAACATGCGAAAAAGCCTTTGCTCTAGGCCTAAAACAACTCTCTTTTCAGTTGATAGGTTTTGAATAGTGAGCCGTACAAACGGCTTCAATATTACATTAATTGTCAACAGTAGCACTCTCCGTGTCCCACGCCAGTGAAAAGTGGAATCAATTGCAAGAAAAAGAGATGGGAAAAACCTTAGCGCCAACGTGGAGTGACTGTGTGATTGGAGTTGTGGTAATAATTCTATTTTGCGTAACTCTTCTTCTCAACATCCTCGCACTCCATTATACCTATAGTAAAATTAGAAAACCGTCAAATAAGAAAATTCCGCACTTGCTTGTCGGCGCGTTGTCGTTGGCTGGACTTGGTATCGCATTGTTTCAATACCCGCCATTTATTGCTTCTCGATTCAAGGGAGAATGGTTGTATGACTCTGGAGTATGTAGCTTCGTAGCCTTTGTRATAGTTCTTTTTGGCAATCTAACTATATGTATGGTAGTACTGATGAGTCTTGAGCGCCTTGGTGCTATAGTTTTTCCTTTCTTTTACAAAGAATATGTAAGCTTTCGTAAAGCAGTGATCATCGTTCTATTCCTGGTTGGATATTCTGTATTTCTCGCTAGTTTACCTATATTTTTGGACCGAATTCGTTTGAACGTATCAACCGGCGTTTGCACGTATGCCGTAGATACTTACAATACTAACACTAAGATTGTAGTGGCAGTGATGGTAACCCACTATATTGCATCTATCATCGTGATGTTTGTTGCTAACATGATCGTCGTAAGAACTGTTAGCATGCTTGACCGGAACACTATGTCTGGCGAATATGAAAGTCGCTGTGGGGAAAGAAAGCARCACAGTACTCATGCCTGTTTGAATTTTGCAAAGATGGTAGGAGTTCTAGCGTTCTGCTATACAATCTGCTGGACAGTCATTTTGGTAAGTACGGTGATATTCAATAATATATACACTAGGTGGACAGACAGACAAATGTGTCGCTGATGTGTTTAGTTGTCGTTCGATATGTTTATTCACTTTTAACCTGTAGTCTTAGTTAATAAAATGCCGTTRACCAGGATGTTTTCGTTTACAATGTAGCACATTGTTATCACAAACGCCACCAGAACGACTCGAATTAATCATAACAATAACATTGCGAATTTTGACGTGACAAAGTAAAAATCGTTCGTATAACCTTGAAATGAATCTCAAAGTCAAGAAAAGTGATCTGATACATTAGAAGCATATAATATCTGTAGTGGCTGGTATCAAGATTACTCAAGAGAAGCCAAAATACTCGACAATCAATCCAATATCTCCCAGTTTGATTATTCGCCATTTTATTATTATTTTTTCTTGCAAACAAGGGGAACTCGCATTCAACCGGCTAATTTATTTTCTCTTGATTACCCATTCGGGCAGTTTTAATTTGAAAGTTTGTGTATGGCATGTTGAATTCCGATTATGGTTTTCAAATGCTTTCAAAAAGGAGTATTTTTAGCGGAAAAGCCATTCAGCCATAAGAAGAACTTGCYTTTTCCGGTCGACGATCGATCATATGATTTTATTCTATATTTTCGGATTATCGGATTTGGACTCTATCGATTTTATAGGCTTAAAATTCACTTAATAGATTCAGTTTACGACATATTCTTTGCTTTCTTTCCATATAAAATTAGAAGCTTGTCCAATAACTTAAGCTTTGGCTTTTCGTTAGGGAAAAGAATTGTTTCGTAATTCAACATTACTTTTCGCCATTTTTGGCTCTATCAACTCATGTTATTACGTATGCCAAAAGGGCTGCTAGATTCAAAGACAAAGAAAAAAACCATCGTGTTCGTACAAAATATGTCGCTGTTCACTGGACAATAATGTAGAGGCAACCGCAATAAGACTCTTTGTAAAAACCCTTTCTAGGGATAATTTTATGGAGCAAATGCCARAATAAACAAACCATCAGACATCAAAAATACTGCAAAGTTTAACTTTTCCATCTTGAATGTGACGTAAAGTTTATTCAGCACTAAAATAAGAAAAGTTTTTAACAATTTTATCAGGTTGGTTATGAAAATTTAATGATTGACAAAATTATATGTATCTTCCAAAACCCCAATCTTTTGAAAATGGTTTTTTGGTGTTCAATGGCTGGCTGATTCAATTGCCACACACTCGACAACTAAACTGACACTCTCGCGCTTTCATTAGCTGGGAATAATGAATTTTTTTTTACTACTACACATCACTTTCATTATGCGCTGATCSTGATGTGCCATTTAAAATTCGTGATTTTTTTCTTTTAAAGAGGATTTACTAAGTCCGTGTTGCGGTTCAACACGGTGAATCAAGACATYGATGGTCTAGGAAAAGAATTGCACTAATACTATTAGAAGGAAACGACAGAACACGGATTGATAATATTACTGAAGTGGAATATATGAATTAATGATGGAATTTGTTCCTTCTTTAGAAGGATTAAAAAAACTCGCAAATACACTCGAAAAGCAAAAATCTGACAATGCTCTTCCGACATTCAATGGATTTTTCCCATTATACCGAACGGACAGACAGTATTCTATGGCTTCTATATGACTGGAAAAGGGAGGCCGGGAAATGTAGTAGATGATATTGTCTGTACGTCAGTATTTTAGAAACCATCTTAGTTCGTTTACGTTTGTGTACGCGTCACGTAACACATGCTTGTCCTTTAATCATGATTTGTGTTTTACGTGTAGTATTTTGACGGTTTTGACCGCGGTATTTGACTTACTTGCTCACATCGAATACGCACATCGTACTTTTTATTGCAACGTTTAGTCCTTCCTACCACGTCCTTACAACACTAAAGAGGTTCTACGTAAATTTTACTAATCTTGTATACCGTGTTCAAGTGCTGAGAGGTGTGCGGTTATTACARAGCTAATTCACAAGACTGCTTTATATCCTGCTTTTACGCGAACATTGAAACGAATGGTTTTTGTGTGGTTTAAGATTATATTACAGTAATAATGTGAAAGCTAACAGCAATTAGTGCAGCATATATGAAAAACAACTAACGATTATAAGCAAGACATATATTCTTGGTCCCAAGAGTAAATTTGATTAAAACGCGAACATGTCTTAATCAATTTCTCTTTGTTGTTTCATCTAGAAACTAAACACAACAAATAAGCAGGACAATRCAAATTAGACATTCGCTTTTCCTGAATTGGGACAAGAGAATTTGAACGGARGATGAATTCAACTGACAGAATTCATGAACTAATGAGATTCTCTTGAAAATTTGAGGAAATCACTATTCGTTTTTCTCCTTTCTTCCTCCTCTGCATCTTTAATTTACATTTTTGTCAGTAAATAAATTTGTGTCAGTTTTTAATCTCAAGTWTATGCCTCGTTTCTTCCTTATTGTTCTTGTATTTCTATGATCTTTAAAAATGACCGACAATTTTTCACCAAATTGTACAGAATTCAATCAATGGAAGAGACTAGGTTACTTAACTATTTAATCTTTTCCGGCTAGAGTTTCATTACCTAGTAAATTGTCTAATCATTTGCCATCGATAGTCAAGCCCACAATTTATCCATCTCTTAAATTTTGACATCCACTTTGTCATCTTTCATGTATTTTTTTATTTTTGTCCGCTGGTAATTTATTAAATACAACATTGTTAAATTGAGAACTATGTCAGGAATTATTGGATTATTCATGTAATCTTTTGGGTTACTTCTTGTATGCGCATGTTTGGTTTGATGTTCTTTTTCACAGACTTATAGCAATTCAGACATTCATGTTTTCAATCTTTAAGGAAAGAGCTTGTTTCTTTTTGTTTAAAAATACTCTAGAAATGTAAGGCTCTCTTTCTTCTTTTCCTTGCTTTGCTTCTTTCAGCCCTGATTTGACCTATTTGGTATGTTTTCCATTAAATTTTCACCTTTTCAGCATTCAAAGTTTCAGCATTCAAAGTTACCTCAGTAACAGATTTATCTTTTAGTCTTCCAATCCTTCAAGCATGTTCGAGGAAATGATTGACTTCACATCTGTAGGAGCTATTTAGACATAAATCATTACAAATGCAGTTGATCTGACTAAATAAAAATAGAAAAAATGCAAAAAAGTTTGAGTAGTGATTTCSTCATTTGTTATCATAAACTCCCAAAATTCCAATCGGTCTCACATTAGTTAATGTTTCCTACATTTTCACGTAACTTCATTCATTTATTCACTTTTTTCAGAYTCTCAATTGTTGCTTTAAGATTKATATTGGCGCTTATTTTGCACTTATTTTTCGTTTTTTGCTTTCCTCGGTAATKAGTTTGTATTGTAACATAATCTAGATTCTTGTTTAATCAATTGACTGTTCACTTCCTAAACATAATSTAACTAGATATGCTTTTTTGTTTCCCTCTCCTTTCTTGTTCCCATAGTTCCGTGCTCCAGTAGGTTTGTATTATAGCCAACTCGCATATCAAACATTTGATTTTCATTTGAAATAGTGCGCTATTGAGAGTCAAGAGCAATTGACGCTAGMTGGCAAAGAGATCTATAATACGAACCTTTTGAACCATTCCGGCACTTTGGTGCCGAATGATTTAAAAAAAACACACATCTTGAACTTTAGTTGGGGTTTACTGCGGAAAAGATTAAAAAACCGGCGAGATTTGAGATTATTTTGACTATTTATTTTATTCAATTTTGATTATTTCGAAATTTTTCATGTTCATTACATTATTGATGGTACCTCTCACTACTTTATGGTACGATACCGACTCTTCAATGCCGATAGACACCTATATTGCTATGTCTCACATTTTTTTTTCATATGTACAAATGTATTATGAGATGAGCTGAACAAATAATTTCAACTCGCGGTTTTTTACAATTAAAAGCTTAATTTCCACAACAATTATGATTGAAGTTTGTAGGTTTTTCGTCAATTAAGATTTCAACAGCAATTAAGTTTAGGTTCACATATACAAAGCTAGGGACATTTAGAAATTTCATTATCTTCAGTGTATTAAAGTCCTCTTTGTGTCAGTAAAGGATTACAAACTTTATTCAAACAACATATGCTTTTTAATAGTCTTATTTCAGTTTTTAATCCAATKTTTTATCAAGAAAGTAATGTTGAGTTAAATGGAAACTTATGTGTATTTGAAACCACAGTCAACCGCATCGTAACATATTAGATGGGGGAACATTGCCATTAATCTTTCTTAAAACCTTCAGATTTTTAAAATGGAGATTTTTCCGATAACTGATCACAAGGCTGACAAGACCGAAGGACGATGAGCTTCTCTCATTTCATTACGTCTATTTAGAATGATGCCTTGTCTTTATTATGTTCTTTGAATAATCCAGTTTATATGCYGTTTTTATTTGACTTATTTCTATATTTTGTATACATTTCTGTGTTTTTATTGCATGTTTTTAGCCTCTATTTTGCAATCACTTCATTTGTTGAGATATTAAGTGTTGTTCGTTATCTCATATTCTTCCTTGTTTTGAACGATTTTTTGGAATTGAGATCAAAAGATAAAAAAAATTCTTATTGATTTTTTTTGTTTCAAACTTAGTTTTTGTTTCGGTACATTTTATTCTATTCCATTGGCTCAGAGTGAACAAAAAAATAAATATATAAATAAATATAAAAAATAAAATTGCTTATATTTGATTTTCAGTTCATTCAATTGCTTTGTTGTTGTCCGTTTATCGTAATTTGTTAATTGATGTTTTCGGCCTCATCTAACAATCAGTTAGTTATAGGAAATGCTAAACAAAGATTCTGCCCCCAGCATTGCAACCAACTCCCGCGAGTAGAGTGCAGTATTGCAAATGGGAAATGGCCGTGCTTTACGAGGAACATACTTTGATATTAGAGTCCGTGCACATACCCCGGCATTTCAAGTAATGCTAATGGAAACTGATGGTTGGTTTGAGACCGATATCATTTGTAAGAGCTCTTTAACCCTTTAGAACATAATTATAAATATGCGTACAATGGTGTTTTAACGCCAAACAAAAAATCAAATTAAATTGTGATGATAATACGCTGTGGCACTTGTACATTATGGAAGTCTCAGTCACAATTCCAATCGGTCTCAGGTTGACCATAGATCTGACAGCTGGATCTCTAAGACAACTGAACTAAGATGTTATACGCGTAGTTTCCTCGCGAGATTTAATGTATTTTTTTTTACTGTGAATTAAGACTTAACGTAAAAACCGTCCGGGTTTTCGAATGGGTCCGGTTTCTTTATATCATTAATTTCGCCGTATTTGCGGTTCTTCGGCTACGGCTCTTAGCAAGAACATCTAAATTGTAGACTAAAACGCAAAAAGAATTAAACAACGTGTAATCTTAAGCAAAATGTAGTTAGGAAAAATTAATTTTTGCCACATTTTTTTACAAAGGGATATGGATCTGTAAAATTGAAGTATAATTTTAAAAAAATATATTTTTACTTGGAATCCACATGTGTGTGATGCATACTTGAGTGAGATCTCACCACAGTTCATCACTGAAGCTTATTCTTTCTTTCATTTTCATGTTGATTGTATGGATTTTATAAAAACCAAAAACCAAAAACAACAATAAAAATTACAACAACAACAACAATGATAATATGAAGATTGCTTTTGTTCGCCACACTAGTAGAACACTAGTAGCAGTGGGCTAACTGTAGATGAGCGAAGGGGATAGTTTCAGGGGTTCTGGATTTCTCTTCCTTGGTAGATTTTATTTGCCAAATCAATATGGTAAAACATTTTCAAAAATACTCGCGCAATTTTGCTAGCCTGCGTGGCGGCTCTAGGGGAGGGGGGAACTCCCCACCCCCTCCCCTTCCGTTTTCCCCCTCCCTAGCTCCGCCTCCCCATCCCCTCCC